TATCAAAACGTCATGCTATACACCACAGTTATATACAACTTTCACTTGTCAATAAAAACAATTAAAATAAATAAGATGTAAAGGTTAAAGCAGTCAGAGGGTAAGTAGAGTCACAGATTTCTAGAAGCTCATTTTTGTTTAGAGGTTCTTTCCTTCATGTTATAAATATTTCTTCATGCTATAAATAAACAAGCAGTGACCTATGCACGTAAGACAAGCATCTCCCACATCTGCCTGAGTTCCAGAACCACAGTCTGTGCAGTTTCAGAGAAGGCTCTTTTGAAATCTGTTTCATTAACCAGACAAAGCAACCAACTGCAGGGTGTGTGGGAGCCAGCTCCTGCCACTGGTTTATGCAGCCTCCCAGCAGAGTGCTACATTAGGGCTCCCTGGAGAGTCAGGCTGGCCCCATTCCTCCTCTGAAGCAAATGTATGCTGCCCCACCCCCCACCCCCAGGGCAGGACACAGAGGAAGCACAGAGCCAGCTGACTTCATGGTTGGGTAATTTCTAACTGCATGACTTTTTTATTCAAAATTGACCCATTCTTGCACTGATTCTCACTCTGAGAATTGTGCTGCTAAATTAAAAGAAAGTGGCTCTGAAAACAGGACTGTGGAAGGGAAGACCTGTTTTTAAGAGAATAGAAATCAAGTGCAAAACAAAACTCTGCAGTTGAGGCCAAGGGTGAAGGTGTAATTGAGAGGGAAGTTTGTGACATCAAGTCCCTAAAGATCAGTGTCCTTGGTTTTGTCTAGACCATATACTCAGTCTGCTTCCACCAGAAGGCACAAACTGTGTAGGTGCAGCCAAAAGGCACACACTATATGTGACCTACAAGATGTTATCCACCCTCACCCGACCAGGTTTTCAAACTTTATTGTTGCAAGTTTGTTTCATAGTAAACAGAAGTTTCCCTGCTCTCCTAAAAATTTGTTACACCTTGTCCACATTCTAGCATAACAACTGTGGGTGACCCTCAGCTGGGTGCACACTCCACAAAACCACAGACCTGGCTAGCTTCTCCTAATTTTCTTTTCTTTTCAGGACTGGCTTCTGTGGACATTTGAGCTTGAGTTTGTTACTCCTAATGTATGTGAAGGTATTATGGATGAATTCTCATTCTAAATTTTTGTAGGTCAGGGATTGGGGACCTGGCCATAGCCTGCTGGCTTCTATAAACTTCTAGTGTAGAGCAAGGAAACCAGAAGATTTGAGATTTAAAAACCTTTGGTTATGACCTGGTAGCATTTACCTGGCCTGTGTGCTGTTCAACCAACAGGAGGCTTTCCCTTCACCCCCAGGAAAAGGAGCTCCTGCAGCTTGAAAGTCAACCTTTACTATGCTAAAAAGACTTTAAAAAAAATCAACTGGAAATAAGATATCCGTAAGTGGGTTTTGTTTTGTTTTGTTTTGACAGTACTGAGAATTAAATCCAGGGCTCTAGCTCTGCAAGTGCTCTACCACTTGAGCCACACCCCCAGACCTTGTATTTTGTTTTTGAGACAGGGTCTTGCTAACTTTGCCCAGGCTGGCCTCAAATTCACAATCCTCCTACCTCTGCCTGAGTAACTGGGCTTATAGGCATGCACCACCATGTCTGGCTTGGATGTAATTTTTAAATCCCACCCCAAAACTGATAAAAGACTGCAGTAGCTGTGTCCCCAAGGACAGGACCATCTTCAGCACAACCATCTTCTACTCTTTCTGAACCCCGTCTGGGTCAGGACATTGGACAGTTCCACATTGGGTGAACTTAGGTTGGTGAATTTCTTCACTTAAAGAATATTTGCTGGTGGAAAGAGACCACCCACAGAGTGGGAGAAAATATTTGCCAGCTATACATCAGACAAGGGACTGATAACCAGAATATACAGGGAACTTAACAAACTAAACTCTCCTAAAATCAATTAACCAATTAAGAAATGGGCAAGTGAACTAAAACAGAACTTTCTCAAAAGAAGAAATGCAAATGGCCAAAAAACACATGAAAAAATGCTCACCATCTCTAGGCATAAAGGAAATGCCAATCAAAACCACACTAAGATTCCACCTCACCCCTGTTAGATTAGCCATCATCAAAAACACCACCACCAACAGGTGTTGGCGAGGATGTGGGGAAAAAGAAACCCTAGTCCACTGCTGGTGGGAATGCAAGCTGGTGCAGCCACTGTGGAAAAAAATTTGGAGGCTTGTAAAAAACTAAACATAGACCTGCCATATGATCCAGCAATCCCACTCCTGGGGATATATCCTAAGGAATGCGACACAGGTTACTCCAGAGGCACTTGCACACCCACATTTATTGCAGCGCTATTCACAATAGCCAAGTTATGGAAACCAAGATGCCACACTATTGACAAATGGATCAAGAAAATGTGGTACTTGTACACAATGGAATTTTACTCAGCTATGAAGAAGAATGAAATCTTATCATTTGCAGGTAAATGGATGGAACTAGAGAACATCATTCTGAGTGAGGTCAGCCAAGCTCAGAAGACCAAAAATCGTATGTTCTCCCTCATGTGCAGACTTTAGATCTAGGGCAAATGCAGCAATGTGGTTGGACTTGGGTCACATGACAAGAGGAGAGCACATAAGGGAGGTATGGGAATAGGTAGAAAACCCAAAACATGAAAGCATTTGATGTCCCCACTCCAGAGGAACTAATACAGAAACCTTAGAGCAACAGAGGTTATCATGAGAAGGGGATCAGTAACCACTGTAAAGATCAGTTAGAGATGAGTCAACATGGGTCATAACACGTGTACACGAAAGCAATGCTAGGAATATTTTTGTATAGCTATCCTTAACTCAGCTAGCAAAAATGCTTTGTCTTCCTTATTATGTTTATGTCTTTTCCTCAACAAAATTAGTGATAAGGGCAGAACAGGACTTGCCTGGAACTGGGGGGGGGAGGGGAGGAGAGGGTGGAGGAGAGGGGAGAAATGACCCAAACATTGTATGCACATGTGAATAAATTAATAATAAAAAAAGAATATTTGCTGGTGGAAATATTATATAGTCATGTATGAAAATGGAAAAATGAGACCTGTTGAAACTTCCAGGAATGGGGGAAGGGGAGATAAAAGCAGAAGACAGAAGGGGTAAATTCAACTACGATATAGTTTAAGGACTTTTGTAAAATTCACAATGTACCCCCAGAACAACAATAATAAAAAAGTTAATTAAAAAAAAGTATTTGCACCATGGGATAATGAGAGACTGTTTTCAATGAAAAGTGGTCCAGTTATCAAAAGAAACACAAGGATGGCCTCTACAAGGACCAGTGAGCATAACCATCTATTCCATGTTAAGTTACCCCTGCCAGAAATGAATCTTTAATGCCTAAATAAATGAATATGTCAACTGGTGTAGTGGTAAAAATTCCCACCTAGTAACATTTTTTTTAAGTTGAGGCATCCCCCGAAAAATGTGGCTGTTACCTGACTGATGTCTAACATGCATTATCACACTTAGTGCCTTCATCTCTGAAACAGATTCAGATTCTGACAGAATGGAACAATGGGATAGCAAATTTAATGGAAGAAAAAGATGGAAGAGTCCAAGATCCCAGGGTGACCAGGAAGACCAGTATGAGAGAATTCAGTACATAGGAGATGAAGAGCACAAGACTGTCATAAATACTAATATTTGCTTGAACCATCTCTGCTTCTGAAAATGGCCAAATACTATGTAGGTACATTCCTACCTAGGCATCTGTCTTTCCTTCCCGTCACTAAGATAATAGGGAATCAGCTTTGGTCCCACTGTGGTGATAAATAACAGTTAAGATTCTGGTAGACTATGAAAGAGATGGCTCTAATTTTTTTTTTAAATATGGAACACTTCACGAATTTGCGTGTCATCCTTGCACAGGGGCCATGCTAATCTTCTCTGTATCGTTCCAATTTTAGTATATGTGCTGCCAAAGCGAGCACGATGGCTCTAATTTTTGCTTAAAGGGATTGAGGAAACAACTTAAAGCCTCCACTTTAATCCCTCCACTAAATGCAGTAGAATACCCCATAAACACATACACACAAATGCAGTAGATTACCCCAAGAATTAACATATATTTTTCTAACAGTGAAATTAACAGCCTAATCATTTGACCTTATATAAGATGGTGCATCACAGCCATGCTTAAGTCAAATCACATCCTACAAGGCCCTATTCTGCATTCACATTGCCATGAACTTGTATGATTCCAAGATGGCAGATAGAGGGAGGAAGCAGAAAGCGAGCCTCCTATAGTGAAATCTTGGAGAGACGCTGGAGACACACTTTGCAGGCACAATCACTGAGAAAAGGCATAACTTTGACCCCTCCACACCTCCAGCCGGTGCAGAGAATTATTATAACGGCAGCATCTTCATCTTCTGGTAACCAAATCAGTTGTCTTCCATAAAGACTGCCTGATAGGAAACTATAAAAATACTTCCTTTCTCAGCATTCATAAGGGGAAAAAAAAAAGAATCAGAGTTCAGTTAATGACTTTCACCCCAAGGACAAAGCAGCAAAGACACATTTTAATATGAAATTGTGTCCTCCAGTTTCTATATCAGAATGTCAGCTGTGCTAGAAAATCTAATGTGAAAGATTTATGTATTGAATTGAAGTGGGAATAAGTAAACCTTGTTACAGCAATTGTGGAATGGATACAGAGCAACAGATACAAACAACACAGTTTGGATCACTGCTACACAAAAACAGCCCCATTTCTCTTTCCCAAAAGAAAGACATCCTGCTTAAAACTAGTCAAAAGACCTAAGGAGAGGAACACAGAACTAAGTACCAGTTCAACTGCTCGGAGTCTCTTTGTTGTGCCCTGTGTTTGGCTCTGCCAAGTCATTTGCATTCCTGCAATGAGTTCTTCTGGTCCAAAATGTTGTAGCTCTCCTTCTACCTGTCCAACTGCTCTTCCCCACCCCCACCCCAATGAGAGACAGTGCAGGAGCTGGTGCTGCAGGAAGGACTGTTAAGGAAGAAGGAGCTTACCACTTCTGGTAGCAGCTTAGTTGAGAGATCATGGATGGCTTTGACCACTATGCATATGGATGACAGAAGGAATATCACTCCCAAGATGACACAGGCTCTGCAAAAAACAAAACATTGAGAGTCTTAACTGGGAGAACTCCACACTGCTGAAGAGTCAGCATGTTGACAGTGACAAGGACACAGTCTAGGAATTAATTTCACCTTAATTTGCTCCCCTACTCAGAGACCACCCAAAGTTCCAGGCTTCATACCAACTCACATTATAATACAGTTCAGGGTTTTATGACAAAGGCCACCTCATGAGAAAGGGGCTTACCACCCTACATGACCTCACAGCATCCCATGAACACTGCTTTGGAAGGGTCTTCTAGGCATGAAATCCATCCCCTTGCTGGCAAACATGATGCTTCATTCCTCTTCAAGCCAGAGGGGAAGGAGCTCCACAGCAAAGAGTGGAGACTCTGGCATGAGACAACCCAAGCTCAACCATTTACCTTGTTGCATTATCTTGGACAAGGAACTGAATCTCTTTTTGCTTCTATTGCCTTACCTTTAAGATAAGGCAACCCCTTACCTTAACAATATTTCCTACCTGAAGATGAAATGAGATGATACACAAAGCATAAAAAAAAAGTAGTCCGGGAATGTTAGCTTAGATAAAGAAAAGTCTGGATTCCTCTTTTAGAGATGATGCAATGGACATCTTTGGATTTTCCCACTGATAAAAATGAGGAATGATTTGGTCATGACAAAAGACAGAGCATTTGTGGTAAGATGGAGAGATATAAAAAATAAGTCAGAGGAGTGAAGGAAGGATAAGGTCAACCAAGACCCCAGCATAGGAGGAGGCAGAAGCAAGTCATGGATGCAAATACACAACGGGGAATTTTGGGTAGGAACTGACAAGGAAGTCTATGGGGCTTGGGACATAGAAGTCTCTGGCAACCTAGATGTAACAAACCTTGGGAAAACAAAGAAATGAAAAGTAAGAGGAAATGATAATATAAGGGTCAAAATAGCAGAAGAAAATGGAAAGTGACAAAAAAAAAATACAAGACTGACTGGTTAGCTCTAGCTCATTCCTGTCCCAACATAATGTCTCTGTCATTTGGCAGCCTCCTTGGTCCTCTTTACCCAGGTTTCAAACAAAATCATTTTTCATTATCCAGCTTGGATTCTTCTCCCTGGACTAACATCATGGTCCCAAATTAGTCACCTAACTTTGAAGTGACACCTACTTATGATCCTAGTAAACCTGTGGACACACAAGGCTATTTGGAGTCCACTCAATAGGATTCTCACCCACACTCTAGCTGTAGATTTTACTCTTTCAAAGACCCGGGCTACTTAATGCAGAGAAACTAAAGCAGATACCTTAAAGCAACTGAGGCCAATAGGAAAAGGAGACCAGGAACTAGAGAAAAGGTTAGATTAAAAAGAATTAACCTAGAAGGTAACACCCACGCACAGGAAATCAATGTGAGTCAATGCCCTGTATAGCTATCCTTATCTCAACCAGCAAAACCCCTTGTTCCTTCCTATTATTGCTTATACTCTCTCTACAACAAAATTAGAGATAAGGGCAAAATAGTTTCTGCTGGGTATTGAGGGGGGGAGCGGGAGGGGGTGGAGTGGGTGGTAAGGGAGGGGGTGAGGGCAGGGGGGAGAAATAAACCAAGCCTTGTATGCACATATGAATAATAAAAGAAAAATG